TGATGGCACACTGTGGTATTTCACCCAACAGATATGGGAGTTTATCAAAATTGGATTTGTTTTCAAATTCTCTGTGGGTCTGTGTAATCTGAAGGAAATAATGTCTCTAATATGGTCATACATTTGGCAGGTTAGGAAGTGCAGCTCAGTTTCCACCTCATTTTGTGGGCAGTGTGCATATAGCCTGTCTTCTCTTGAGAGCCAGGTCTGCCTACAGCGGCCTCTTTCAATAGCAAGGCTATGCTCACTGAGTCTGTGCATAGTCAAAGCTTTCCTTAATTTTGGGTCAGTCACAGTGGTTAGGTATTCTGCCACTGTGTACTTTCTGTTTAGGGCCAAATAGCATTCTAGTTTGCTCTGTTATTTTGTTAATTATTTCCAATGTGTCAAGTAATTATCTTTTTGTTTTCTCATGATTTGGTTGGGTCTAATTGAGTTGCTGTCCTGGGGCACTGTGGGGTCTGTTTGTGTTTGTGAACAGAGCCACAGGACCAGCTTGCATAGGGGACTCTTCTCCACGGTTCATCTCTCTGTAGGTGATGGCTTTGTTATGGAAGGTTTGGGAATCACTTCCTTTTAGGTGGTTGTAGAATTGAACAGCTCTTTTCTGGATTTTGATCATTAGCGGGTATCGGCCTAATTCTACTCTGCATGCATTATTTGGTGTTTTACATTGTACACTGAGGTGTATGCAGAGTCTCAATTTGGTGTTTGTCCCATTTTGTGAATTCTTGGTTGGTGAGCAGACCCCAGACCTCACAACCATAAAGGGCAATGGTTCAAGTATTTTTTTGCCAGATCCTAATTGGTATGTCGAATTTTGTGTTCCTTTGGATGGTGTAGAATGACCTTCTTGCCTTGTCTCTCAGATCGTTCACAGCTTTGTGGAAGTTACCTGTGTCACTGATGTTTAGGCCGAGGTATGTATCGTTTCTAGTGTGCTCTAGGGCAACGGTGTCTAGATGGAATTTGTATTAGTGGTCCTGGCAACTGGACCTTTTTTGGAACACCATTATTTTTGTCTTACTGAGATTTACTGTCAGGGCCCAGGTCTGACAGAATCTGTGCAGAAGATCTAGGCGCTGCTGTAGGCCCTCCTTGGTTGGGGGCAGAAGCACCAGATCATCAGCAAACAGTAAACATTTTACTTCTCTCTTGGGTCCCACCAATAAGCATGATAGAGGACTCGCTTATCTCCCCAGACGCTGCTTCAAAGGAAGCTCTTTTTAAATGTTTTGCTTTATTGTTTTTCATTGCACTGCTTCTCTGTTCTTTTTTTTTCTCATTCCTGCCCTCATCCCACCATCCAAAGGGGACAAACAAGTAGACCCCTCCCCAGACTCCCACCTCCCTCCCTCCCTCCCTCTCTCCCCATCCTCTATTCTCCTCTGTCCGGATAGTGCTTACAGCTTGCCCTTATATGTCCAGAATGCTCTGCAAGCACAGGAAGACACAGTTTATATGAATCTGTGTTATTGTTTCATGCACTTGTCAACACTTTTGCACCAGACTGTCGGTGCTTTAGTATCAACACTTGCCTTTTAAGGTATGCAGTAAATAAGGTATTTCCCCCAAGCAACACATGCGACAGCCCAATTAAGGGTTTCCCCTGAATTGCATGATTTGTGCTCATGAAGCAGAAGCCAAATAGGAAATATAGTAAAACTTAGAATAATTAATTGTCAAATGCAAGTATTTTAGAGTTTTCTTTAACTTGAACTATGTCTTGTTTTATTTTATTTTCAACATATCTTGACCTTTGTCCTTGATTATATAACCACAATGTTACTGTACAGATGTGATGTTTCACCCAACCACTGTTTAGTCCTGTACAGTATGAAAATGATAACCATAGCACACTACAATAACTACAACACTGCAGACGAAAGTTTTGATTTACACATGGGCATGGCAGTGGACACTGACAGATTGGGTGAAACAGGGAAGTGTATTAGCTTAGCACAGCCTTGCAAACTGGACAGACTGAATGGCTTCCGCCCATTGGTGAACCTGATTAGTAATGTTCTCACTTTTCCTCAACCGCCCCCCTCTTCCGTTCCTCTCACAATGCCTGGAAGTATCCTAGACTTAAGCTACATCTAATTCTCAGTTTTCTTAAATGTTGTTTTTCTTTTTTCTTCTCCTTTTTTAATAAGACACAATTGATCCGGCCTCCATCAAAACAAATATAGCACAAGGACACACACACACACACGCACTCAACACCCTTCGTAAAACACTATGCTGCTTCCGGCTCGCATTTAAACACAGGGTTTATACCCAAACATGGCCATATTGGTTGATTTGTCATTGTATGCAGCTTGTACACATACTGTATATTTCAACTCCTACAACATTATTCTACAATATGCACTGACGGAAAATGTGTATGAATATTTGTCTCCTTTTAAAGTCAAGTATTTTTCTCCTATTTGATTTGGGTTGGCTTCAACAGTCCTTGAAATAAGTAGGATTTGTTGTTTCATGATAATAGCTTTAAAGCCCTAATTCAATTTGACAGCGATACAATAAACAGGTCCGGGGAGTTTTATCTGTATCATCATGATAGATTCAAAGCTTTGATATGGTGGAAACTTCAGGTTTGCAGCTTGCATCATCACTGTGGAATCTGTGCTGTTTCTGCAAGGGTGCGGCCTCTCTCTCTTATCTCCTTCTGGCCTTGACCAACCGGCAGTCGCCTTGAAGCTCGCTCAAGGTCCTCCTGTTCTGTCAGAATTCTTTGATCTGAAGTTCATGGTGCACTGAAGCAGCCCCTTTATTATGTCAGTGTATTGTAATGTGCTGCAACTCTTTGTGAACCTAGGCTAGTGCTTAAGATTAGCTAACTTTTCCGCTAATTTTTTTTGTTATTGGTGACCTTTGATAGCTTCCCCCCCCCCCCCCCCCCCCCTCGCGTCCCCTCCCCTCCCCCCCCTCTTGTCTCCTGCTTATTATTGACGGATGTCCTGTGCGGGCGTTTTCATCCCGCGTCTCGGTGCGCCTTTCAGGATGTATTCAGAGATGGTGTGTGTGTATATGTGTGTAGCGGTGTGTTGTGGTATGTGTGTGCATGCATATGTGTAGTGCTTTGTGTGTGTGTGTGTGTGTGTGTAGCATTGTCTGTGTGTGTATGTGTATGAGTGTGTGTTTGTGTGTAGCGTGTGTTGTGGTATGTGTGTGCGTGCATATGTGTAGTGCTTTGTGTGTATAGCATTGTTTGTGTGTGTATGTGTGTGTTCGGCAGTTCCTGCACATCTGTCCTCTGCATTTCTATCAGTCTTGGGGGTTGTTGTTTTTCAAGCCAGGGAGAGGGTATCTCCCATCTCCCCAACACCCTCCTCACCCCACTCTCCCGTTTCCTTCCTCCAAGTGCCCATAACACGTTGGCCCCTCCCCTCCGGCAGCAGGCCAGAAACTTCCGGAAGCCTTTATGGAGCACTCATAACTCCACGTTCACCTGGATCTGTCACCTCAGAAATATACTCAACATTTAGAAAACATTCATTTTCACCGACTTTGTTATATATTTTTTTATATGACTGCATGACTAAGGGGTATAAAATATTTTATGTTATTTAGAGCGTCTGTAAAATAGCACTGATTTCGCTGCATGCTCAAGTTGCAGTAAATTGAGTAAGGATACTATATGCGTCTGGTGTGACAGACAATGCAACATGTTCCAATTGTCGGTGTATGTGGAAGTGCAAGGTTAAATCCTTCAAGTCAATGGCTTCTGCTTGTTCAATACCATGTTACATTTTAAGAATGATCCCTTATCTAATATCTGAAGAGCCTCAGTCCCATGGGGCAGGTTTTGAGTTTGGAACAAGGTTTGTTTATCTAACATGTAGGTATTCTTCAAACTTCCTCCCCGACAGTTTCCTCAGGGGGAGGAAGGCGTTGCTAGTGGATGATGGAGGATGGTCTTCTCTAACCCTGAGGTTCAACTCCTGGATAGCCTCACCCTCACCATCATCATCCCTCTTCCCTTAGGATCCTCATATATATTTTTTCTACTACGCCACTTTCCTGCCATCACTTTGTTTGCAGAGACTATGGCGTTAGAAAAAACGAATAGTCCACTAAAAATACCCCACCCGCCGGGTTGGACCACTGGGTCTGGGCTTGGACCTTTTCCTGCTGCAGGCAGCACAGCTTCCAGGGTACGCGTGGGCCGTTGAGGAAAGAGGAAATGAGCGGCCCTGGTCTGAATGATGCTTCCTGCGCAACGTTATAAAGACTCCCCTCCCTCCGGCTACCCTGGACAGTCTTGCTCAGACAACTGTGGAGGGAGTAGGTTATTGCCCAGCCTGAAGACAGTTAGTTACAGATTGAGGAACCTGAGAGTTGAACTGAGGGTTGTGAGGTCAGCATCGTGCACGTTGGTTCTCGTCCCTGCTGGTCGGGGTGAGTGGTAACCCAGACGTTTTGTAGACGTTAGATGTATATAGTTTTTCATAATATTTACGCATTGCCTGGATTGGTGAGATTGGATGTTCATTCATGTATCATCTTGTACCTTTTCTGTCTAAGTGTTCATTTTTTCTACATGGTTTCACCTGGAGTGTGAATTATGTGTGGATAAGAATCTCTTTTTGTGGCAATTTCTTACAACATGACAGATATGTAATTATATAAATGGGGATGTCTTGACATTTCAAAAGTACTTTTGTAATTGGAACCATGTGTTGTGCACGGTGCATCAAGTACATAAATTACACTGTGTTTCATAATGTTGCATTATGTTTCAGTGTCGTCTTGTTTTGCTTCCTGCAGGTACGAGTAGGGAGCTGGTCTCACCTAACAGAGGCGTCCAGGAGACTGCCCACTATTTATTCTCTAGTTGGTGTCTTCTGCAACGGGGTAGGTCAATGTGAGGGAGCTGCACTTTGACTGGGACAGTATATGGTACATATACATAGTGCCATTGCAATTCTACTATAATGAAATTATATTCTGTAAATTCATGTCTGTCTTTTCCTTTCACACCCAAACAAAAGATGAGCAAGATCCAGGTGGTGGAGGGATACAGGGTTGGAGGGAGGCATGAGTTGGTGGGGTCTGAAGTTGCTGCTGCGCAGGGATACGTAAAGGAGTTTACGCGCCACTCCAACGACGTCCTGCTGAATCTGAACGAGCTGAGGCACCAGAACATTCTAACCGATGCCACCCTGGTGGTGGGCACTGCCCGACTGCAGGCACACTGTGCTGTGCTCATTGCCTGCAGGTCAGCTCAGAGGATAATATTCATTGTCATTTTCCTGGTATTTTTTAATTGTTCTTTTGTTATTGTTCTTCTTGTTTTTTTATTCACTCACTCCTCTCTCTCTCTCTTTCTCTCTGTCTCTCTTAGTGGGTTCTTTTACTCCCTGTACTCCCGTCGTGTGTCATCCCCTGGATGGAGTGGTACTGGAGACCAGGCCCTGACCCTGTCCCTCCCTGACTCCCTGGACCCCTCCAGTGTCTCCCTGCTCCTGGACTTTATGTACACCTCCCGGCTGCCCCTCACGCCACACACCGTCCCCGGGGTGCTCTCCGTCGCCACCTACTTGCAGATGGACCACGTGGCCGACACCTGCAGGGCTTTCTTGTTACACAGGTGAAACCCTTTCTATATAAGTCAATGGGTGAGCATTGGAAGGCTGGAGGGGTGGGAGGGATAATGGTAGCTAACAGGATTAGCTGAAGTACCCACCAGAAAGTTAATTTACTGAAAGAACGGTGACAGAGAGACTTTAAATTAGGGAAACTTAGATAAGCAGTTAGTTGCATGCTTTTTAATCTCTAAATTGTGCTTTAAATTGTGTGAGGCATTAAATGTACAGTACAACTGCATATTGTAAGGTTTAAATAGGCTTCTAAGTCTCTCCTATAGACGCCATGGCTGATATGAGACGATATGAATGACAGGCGTTACCTGACAGTTCCTTTTGTTTACAGTGAGAGGATGAGAGGGACACCCCCTCAAATGAAGCTGGACTCCACGGTGTCTGTAGTGTCTGCAGCACCCTCAGGGGGAGTTCCTCTCAATCCCCCTGTCAATGGAAGACCCCGCCCATCTGTCCTCGTTGTCTCCACCCCCTCCCAGTCCGCAGCGGAGGCTGAGGGTCGTATGTGCCGTGACTTGGCCAGGTGAGAGAGAAGGAGTGTGTGTGTGTGTGTGTGTGTGTGTGTGTGTGTGTGTGTGTGTGTGTGTGTGTGTGTGTGTGTGTGTGTGTGTGTGTGGTAAGTCCTAAATCCTATCTGTCGGTGTGTGTGTGTTTGTGTTTGTCGCTGTAAAGTGTGGGCCAATGTGCCATTGTCTGAGTTCAGCTGGATCATTACATGAGTTCCTTTGTTTGTCCAGCAGGGTCCCTGGAGACTTCCGGGCCTCTCTGCAGCCAGGGACTTTCCTGACCCGCGAGCCCAGGTCAAAGGAACTAAAGCTGGAGCTTGAATCCCCCCTCCTGGCCTCCCCCACCTCCACCCCTTCTCCAGACAGCCCGTCTCGCTCCAGCTGTCAGCCCAACTCTCCTGCTGAGTCCAACACCTGTAATCTGGGTGAACCCAAGCGCAACCCTGACCCCAAAGCCTGCAACTGGAAGAAATACAAGTACATCGTCCTCAACCCTCTCTGTGCCATAACCACGGTGAAGGAGGAGGAGCCTGAGGAGGGCCAGCAGCAGCTTGACCACATCCCCACCTCTGATAGGATGGAAGTGACATTGAAGCCACCTATGGAGGCGTGGCCAAGGGAAGGATCCGGCCAAAATGAAAGGTGTGATGTCAATATTATGCATATTATGAAATACTGGTATTTTAAAACCTTTATCTAAACCTCTAAGTCTTATTGACAATAAATGTTCTAAGGGAGACCGTATTGGACCTTGTATGTCCAAGGAGATAGTTTAAGTTGGCACTGATGTTGACAACATGACTATATTATTTCTTCCAGGCAGGGGCAGGCCTCCTGCTATGATGTCCCTGGCTGTAGCCCTCCCCTGGTGCCCCACCCAGGGCTGCCAGCCCACCCTGTGGACCATCCCATGGAGGCCCCCACCCACAAGGAAGGAACAGGTACTACAATCTTACTACCTCACTCAGCAGCTGCAGAGATAACACATAGAAAACATTTTTTCTCCAGCTAAGGAGTGACAGATCATACCCGTATTTACACTACCGTAAAAAAGTTTGGGGTCACTTAGAAATGTACTTGTTTTCGAAAGAAAAGCAAATTTTTGGTCCATTAAAATAACATCAAATTGATCAGAAAGTTTCAGAAGAAAGTTATTTGTTTCTGCCCATTTTGAGCCTGTAATCGAACCCACAATTGCTGATGCTCCAGATACTCAACTAGTCTCAAGAAGGCCAGTTGTATTGGTTCTTTAATCAGCACATCAGTTTTCAGCTGTGCTAACATAATTGCAAAAGGGTTTTCTAATGATCAATTAGCCTTTTAAAATGATAAACTTGGATTAGCAAACACAACGTGCCATTGGAACACAGGACTGATGGTTGCTGATAATGGGCCTCTGTACGCCTATGTAGATATTCCATTACAAATCAGCCATTTCCAGCTACAATGGCCATTTACAACATTAACAATGTCTGCACTGTATTTCTGATCAATTTGATGTTATTTTAATGGACAAGAAAATTGTTTTTCTTTCAAAAACAAGGACATTTCTAAGTGAGCCCAAACTTTTGAATGGTAGTGTATATACGTTTATATATATATATATATATATATATATATATATATATATATATATATATATATATATGTATATGTATATGTATATGTATATATATGTTTATAATATACATACAGTCAGATGTTAATATATGAGATATGTATTGATGTATAATATTTCTCTTCCTCTCAGTCTCGCCTTGCTATCTGGCACCCCGCCCATTGGAGCCAGAGGCCGCCCGTCACTGCCAAAACCCAATTAAGCGTGAGAATTACGGCTTGCCATTCTGTTACTCTGGCAACCTGAGTGTGATAAAGACTGCCTGCACAGGTGAGGCAGTTAGCCCATCACATCTGATGATGTCATTTAACAAACACACCTCCAATACATGATGTTTCGGTGCCATTTATCATCATAGTAACAAACGGATGGTTTGCAGCAGTTTGGACAGTTAGGTATTATGATAATGGCCCGTTATTACAGATGATTATCGCCACAGGTGTTTGGTGTGTGTGTGTTTCATTTGGTGACCTTCCCTTGCCCTTCTTTGCTGCAGGAGACAAGCCGTACCGATGCAACGTGTGTGGTGCCCAGTTCAACCGGCCCGCCAACCTGAAGACGCACTCCCGCATCCACTCTGGAGAGAAGCCCTACCACTGTGATACCTGCGGGGCCCGATTCGTTCAGGTGAGGACCCACCACTGATTAGGGACAGGGGTTGAACAGAGGATGTGTATGTGGCGGGAAAGGAGTGTGTGTGCAGGACCAAAGCGTAAGGTCAAACTAAAGTTGTTGGTTTATGTTATAGCTATGTTATGTTATACGCTATTTATCAATGTTCATTTGGTTGACTTGTGTGTCTGTGGTCTTACAGGTGGCCCACCTGCGAGCCCATGTTCTGATTCACACAGGGGAGAAGCCCTATCCCTGTCACACCTGTGGCACTCGCTTCCGTCACCTGCAGACCCTGAAGAGCCACCTGCGTATTCACACTGGAGAGAAGCCTTACACTGTGAGTATACTACCCACACAGACACACACAAACACACACAGACACACAATGCACGCCCACATGCAGGTACGCAAGCATGCACGTGCGCACACACACACCTCTTGTGTTTGACCTCTTGCTACAGTATACAAGCCGTTATTCAATGATGAAATAGATTGTTGGTCAGTTTAAAACCACAACATTATGATTCCCTGACTTTTTCAATTTCCTCTGTCTCTCTCTGTCTCTCTCTCTCTATCTTTCTTTCTCTCTCTCTCTGTCTCTCTCTCTGTCTCTCTCTGTCTCTCTCTCTCTGTCTCTCTCTGTCTCTCTCTCTCTCTCTCTCTCTGTTTCTGTCTGTCTCGCTCTCTCTCCCTCTCTCTCTACCAGTGTGAGAAGTGTGACCTGCACTTCCGCCACAAGAGCCAGCTGCGTCTCCACCTGAGGCAGAAGCATGGCGCCGTCACCAACACCAAGATCCGCTACAAGGTCCTGACCGACCCCTACCAGCCCATCCTGCAGGCCTGTTGAAGGTCCTCCCTTTGACCCCTGACCTTTAACCCCTAACCATAACCCCACAGATACCAGGAATAACCACAACATTTATGTCAATCAAATCATGTTGTTATGGTCCATGGCTGTGTCCCAAATGGCACCCTGGGCCCGGTTGCATAAATCTCCTCAAGTTAATTTTATCCTTATCTGTTCCCTTGAAGTTTCCTTAACTTTAAATCAGTTGAACAAAACATTTTAAGGTGAATTTCTCCCTTAAATTAAGTGAAAAAGTTAAGGGTGCCCATGAATGTAAACATCATTTGTGGAGGTGAATGTTACTTTCATGGTTACAAAAGGAAAACATCAACCAGCTAGCTACTTAGCTAAACAATGGAAGGTGCACAATCCATGGCTACAAAGCTAGCTGGCTAGTTAGCTATAGCTATTCTGTAAGCTAGCTTGACGTACTAGAAAGTAATATAAACAAGTTGAGAAAAAAGAAACGTGGTTTATTATCTTCTGAAGCAATTTGGTTATCCTGTCTTGATTGTAGAAGTTCTATTTTGCTATCTCACAAAATGAAAGTGATCTCTGATGAGAGGTTTAGTCAGTGAACCAGGCCGTGTCCATGGTAACCAGATACTCTTTCTGCCATACATGCCTTCAAACTACAGTAAAACCCATTAAGTAGGCCCTTACCTAAGAAAATATTTGAGGGGCTCTATGCAACACCCTTAAACAATTCCCTTAGGTAAGAGGAAATTATTCCTTAAGGTAAACCCTTAAGGGAAACACTTAAAATGTTTTATGCAACCGGGCCGTGTACCTTATATAGTGCACAACTTTTGACTAGGGCTCATGGAGCCTATAGGGAATAGGATGCCATTCAAAACTGCCTGGCCCCATCAAGCCTACCTAAATGAGAGCTCAGCTTCCCCCTCAAAAACATGAGCTCAAGCATGTTTCACTCACTGGCTAGAGGGGCCATTATAACACATATACATGACTAGTTGTAAGCCAATCAAACCATGATGTTCTAATATGGTTTGGGGAAAGGCAGCGGCGCCAGAGATCTGAGCTGATATGTAGATAGCATGTCAATGCCTCTCCTCTGAGTTATTGAGCTGGAGGCTGTCTCGGGCCGCTTTAAGCGTTAGGTGGATAACATGTCAAGAGAGCTGTCGAAAGTTACTGGGAGTAGTATGGTATGTTTTTGGATCCCAGCAGGTGTTTTGAAAAGTTGAGAGTTTTGAGGTTTAGAGTAGAGAGTGAGTGAGACAAAAAGACAGAGATAGAAGGGAAGGGAATGGAGAGAAGTAGGATGAAGGGCTAAAGTGCTAGAAGAGGAAATACATTTGACATGGTTGGTTGGAATCATGAGATGAGGAATTGACTTTATTAGAGTGATGGAGAGAATGGCATAGTAAGTTGTAGAGTTGAATAGAGCAAGTGAAATAAAGTTTTCCGTGCCAATGCTTTGTTCATTTTCCAGTCCCACAGCTATTTTTAGGGACCGGGACACATTGGGGACCTGTTGAGTATTTGAAAGGGCAATGCCACAAAGATGTCATTGCATAACAATATAGAGAAAGGTAATAATGCCCCAAGCACAAAGGTAATAATGCCTCAAGCAATAACGTATGAATAAACTAGCCTGATTGTGCCAGCTTTAAATAGCTTTTTAACCAATGTTAATTTTTTACACACTAAAACCAAAGGCCTGGGGCCTTTGTCTAATGTACACTACCGTTCAAAAGTTTGGGGTCACTTAGAAATGTCCTTGTTTTCGAAAGAAAAGCAATTTTTTGTACATTCAAATAACATCAAATTGATCAGAAATACAGTGTAGACTTTGTTAATGTTGTAAATGGCTATTGTAGCTGGAAACGGCTGATTTTTATGGAATATCTACATAGGCGTACAGAGGCCCATTATCAGCAACCATCAGTCCTGTGTTCCAATGGCACGTTGTGTTTGCTAATCCAAGTTTATCATTTTAAAAGACGAATTGATCATTAGAAAACCCTTTTGTAATTATGTTAGCACGGCTGAAAACTGTTGTGCTGATTAAAGAAGCAATAAAACTGGCCTTCTTGAGACTAGTTGAGTATCTGGAGCATCAGCAATTGTGTGTTCGATTACAGGCTCAAAATGGCCAGAAACAAAGACTTTCTTCTGAAACTCGTCAGTCTATTCTTGTTCTGAGAAATGAAAGCTATTCCATGCGAGAAATTGCCAAGAAACTGAAGATCTCATACAACGCTGTGTACTACTCCCTTCACAGAACAGCACAAACTGGCTCTAACTAGAATAGAAAGAGGAGTTGGAGGCCCCGGAGCACAACTGAGCAATAGGACAAATACATTAGAGAGTCTAGTTTGAGAAACAGACGCCTCACAGGTCCTCAACTGGCAGCTTCATTAAATAGTACCCGCAAAACACCAGTCTCAACGTCAACAGTGAAGGGGCGACTCCGGGATGCTGACCTTCTTGGCAGAGTTACAAAGAAAAAGCCATATCTCAGACTGGCCAATAAAAAGAAAAGATTAAGATGGGCAAAAGAACACAGACACTGGACAGAGGAAGATTGGAAAAAAGTGTTATGGACAGACTAATCGAAGTTTGAGGTGTTCGGATCACAAAGAAGAACATTTGTGAGACGCAGACCAAATGAAAAGATGCTGGAGGAGTGCTTGATGCCATCTGTCAAGCATGGTGGAGGCAATGTGATGGTCTGGGGGTGGTAAAGTGGTGGTAAAGTGGGAGATTTGTACAGGGTAAAAGGAATCTTGAAGAAGGAAGGCTATCACTCCATTTTGCAACGCCATGCCATACCCTGTGGACGGCGCTTGATTGGAGCCAATTTCCTCCTACAATAGGACAATGACCCAAAGCACAGCTCCAAACTATGTAAGAACTATTTAGGGAAGAAGCAGTCAGCTGGTATTCTGTCTATAATGAAGTGGCCAGCACAGTCACCGGATCTCAACCCTTTTGAGCTGTTGTGGGAGCAGCTTGACCGTATGGTATGTAAGAAGTGCCCATCAAGCCAATCCAACTTGTGGGAGGTGCTTCAGGAAGCATGGGGTGAAATCTCTTCAGATTACCTCAACAAATTGACAACTAGAATGCCAAAGGTCTGCAAGGCTGTAATTACTGCAAATGGAGGATTCTTTGACGAAAGCAAAGTTTGAAGGACACAATTATTATTTCAATTACAAATCATTATTTCTAATCTTGTCAATGGCTACATTTCCTATTCATTTTTCTATATTTCCTATTCAAAATCATTTCATGTATGTTTTCATGGTAAACAAGGACATTTCTAATTGACCCCAAACTTTTGAACGGTAGTGTATATGACAGGTGTCATATAAGATAAGATGTTTTGCCCGTTACATCCGTTCTGTATTTTTCTAAAGCTTTTTATTTAAATGGCAGATTATAACTTGTCATCTGTGCTTAATGATACCTTTATTTCAGAGTCCAAGCAGGCAAAGGACTTCCGTCTCTTGTATATGAAGGAATATCTTCTCTCAGAGCCTAAAGGCTAGATAATGCGACTGTAAAAATGGATGAGAGATGATATTGATATTTGAAATGGTATGGTGTTCTTTTGCTGGACAAAGACAAGGACTGTTTTATACTAATTAAATTAAATTGATTGCCCTTAACTACAAATTAGTTGTACCTTTTTCCTGTTGTATGTGTTAAAGTCCTAAATAATATACCCCCTTGAGATGGCTTGTGTAAACCTAAGTATATTTAACTGAAAAACTATATTTAACTGAAAAGATTCAGATATTATTCAATATAATTCTGGAATCAGCATTCTACCTATCATACTGATATTAACACACACACACACACATAGACACACACACAACACACCACCTCCCTAGACTTCTTTCCTCTCATTAACTCACCCTTCCGACCTGCAAGACTCAGAGGAGCCAACAGCGCCTCAAACCGCTCTCTGAGTCTGCGTGTTGGTGAGGGAAGGAACAATGGAGTCCCGGGCACCTGTTTCCGGCAGGGCTCTAATGCGAAGTGCACACTGCCATCCACCATGTGTGTCAGCATACTGCTTCCTGTGGCAAAGGGTGCAGCGGCCCCTGCTGAACTCTCCCACCCTCTGTCATCCTCACTTCCTGCTCTGTGATGGGTTTGTGGCAGGCAGAAGGACCTGATTAGCTTATCGTCTGTGGCACTCGCACTATCCCCTATAGCCGTGGTCACCAACCAGTCGATCGACTGGTCGATCTTCAAGGCATTCCTAGTCGATCACCAAACATTTCTGTAGAAAAGCCAACGATAAAGACTTGCGCTCCTTTTTTTTGTTTGGCTGTTGAAGCCCTGCGCACCAGGTAAGCAAAGTGTTCCCATTTTGAACCATTTAATTTATCTGAAAGACCGGGAGATTACATTTTACATTTTAGTCATTTAGCAGACACTCTTATCCAGAGCGACTTACAGTTAGAGTGCATACATTTTTCATACTGGCCCCCCGTGGGAATCGAACCCACAACCCTGGCCACAATCGAGTGCACCTACTGCACTGGCCAATCGGATAGCTCAAATCACCATCCCTACAGAGCTTCCACAACCCCAGCCACAGCAAAGTTTGATACTAGCCTGCTTAAGATTGAATAACTTTTAAAAACATGACCACAGGGAGACTGTCAAATAATGTTTTTATAAGTGAGTTCTTGTTTCCGACTTGAAGATCACTGACATCATGATTTGACCTCGTAATTGTCCCAAGTTCCCAGTTGTCTTGAAAGCCCCATGACCATCAGATGCAGGTACCGTCAGTCCAGTAAAATAAAAAAGCAAATAATTTACTAATTATTTCAATTTATGCTCAGCTGTGCCTCGCAAGTGCTACACCAACTGATCTATTTTGTTACCAAAGCTCGAGTTTTGAAATATAATATGATCTGATAAGAACAATATTGGCAGGCCAGGCATATAGCCAATATGTTGTGATAATGTATTAGGCCTACTGCACAAAACTCATTCCTACAGAACTGTTTTTATTAGGTTAATGTTTTTAAAATGTAAGTCATATTTTTTATATAGTGCGAAAGTGATCTGGACTCAGAAAACGTTGGTAACCACTGCCCGATAGTCTGACCAGGGCTCTCTGGTCAAAAGTAGTTCACTGTATAGGAATAGGGTGCCATTTCGGATGATGCACACTGTGTCTGATTTTGGAATTCTAGTTTCTGCCGTCCTTGTTTCCTCAATTCCTATCAAAGCTCATTGGAGGATGAGGTCCGAGGGAGGGACCTTGGAACCACTCCTCCAACGCTCTCCTTTGAGGAAGGAGGATGCATTACGTTTGCGGACACAACCATTGTCTGCGAGGGAATGGCGGAGAGGAGAAGAGGCAGTTGCATAGACAAACGTTGGAAATGAGAGGGGACTTTCCAACCACGCCCCCCAGCGGAAGTGACTTTTCCTAGCAGGTTTGGATAATTTATGCAGCAGGTCAGGATAATTAACATGGCAGGTTATGAGACAGCTAAAGGTTAAGAAAAGGGTTAGGGTTAGCTAAAATGTTCAACTAACCTGCTACGAAAAGTCACTTCCGGTCGGAGCTGTGTACTCCCTCTAAGCACAACCATTAACCGCCACAATTGGTTTGCTTGTTGGTGAAACTTCAAGTCTCAACAAATATGTATCATTACTATAGGAATTTTGTAGGCCTAAACATTTTTAAATCAAACATATTAATACTTTTACGCATGATTTTAATAGCGCGCTGTATAATTGTAGACCTACATTCACGCAAAGCCCCCTACAAAGGCGCGCTCTTGAGAAACGCCGTCGCGCGCTTTCCTTCCATTCATGATAGGCAGAACCATACTAGCCTACACAGTCATTACCAATTTACACAGTCGGCTCATTTATGGCATTGCTGTTAGTAATACGACATCACGGCAATTTGAAAACACATATCCTATGATAAACGTGTTGAAGAGATGACTGGAAATTAATGAATCAACGAATCAACCCATAACGGGGTGAGTAGCAATAGCTGGGTCGTGCCTTTCGGACCTCATAACTTCTGAAAAAGAAAAGTATACACTACCGGTCAAAAGTTTTAGAACACCTACTCATTCAAGTTTTTTATTTTATTTTACTATTTTCA